AGAAGGAATTTCTGACACCTGAGGAACAATTTTGTGAATCACATTTTCAAAACACTCATTCTGTTAATTCAGATGGGCGATTTGTTGTAAAACTTCCATTTTATAAATCGCATTTGAAGTTGGGTGATTCAAAACCGGCAGCAATTTCTAGGTTGCGTTCCATGGAACGAAAATTCAAAGATAATCCGGAATTTGAAAAACAGTATAAAGATTTCATACATGAATATGAACAGTTAGGACATATGACTGTGATTAATGATGATTTATCTAACAGATCGGATACAGAAAAGTTTTATCTTCCTCATCATGCGGTAATTAAACCTTCTAGCACAACGACAAAATTAAGAGTAGTTTTTGATGCATCCTGCAAATCTGAAAATGGTATATCATTGAATTCTCTTTTAGGGGTAGGTCCGAAATTACAAAGAGATATTTTTGAGATTTTGATTAATTTTCGATTTCCTAAAATTGTTTTCACAGCCGATGTGGAGAAGATGTATCGTCAGGTGATGGTAGCCCCTGAAGATCAGAATTATCAATTGATACTTTGGCGATACAATTCCAGTTATGAAATTTGCACGTACAAGTTGAAAGCAGTTAAGTATGGTCTTTCCTCTGCTTCATTTTTAGCAACTCGATGTCTGAAGCAGGTAGCTTTAGATTCTAAAGAGGAATCAGATGTATTTCGTATATTGCAAGAGGATATGTATATGGACGTCTTATTGTCGGGTTACAGTTGATGATGCAATATCCATCTGCAAGAAAGTATCTTCAATTTTACATGCACGTGGCTTTGATTTGAGGAAGTGGAATTCAAATTCTGTAGCATTCTTAACTGAATTTAAGGAACATTGTTCACTTGAATTCTGATTTCGAGATATCTCCTAATTCGAGTTCGAAAGTCTTAGGACTTTTTTGGAATTCAACTACTGATACCTTCAGTTTTAAAGCTCACGCATCCATAGCACATAGCACGCATCCATCACGCACAACGCATCCATAGCAAAGAGACATCCATAGCACATCAACACATCCATACACATATCACACATATCATCCATATCACATATCAAGCACATCAACGCATCCATAGCAAAGAGACGCATATTGGCATAATCCTGCTCGCATTTTCGATCCTTTAGGTCTCCTATCTCCTTGCACTATATTGATTAAAATATTCTATCAAAAGCTATGGTTAGTTAAAGGCGACTGGGATTCAGTTGTTCCCCAGCATATCTCAGATGATTGGTTTAAATTTCAAGAGACATTCAGTCAAATCAATAATTGTGAAATTCCGAGATGTGTCATACTTACAACTGACAGTGTTATCCAACTACATGGATTTTGTGATGCATCTTCGCAGGCCTTATGCAGCAGCCATTTACTGTCGCCAAAAATGCAATGGTACGGTTAAGGTTAATCTTTTGGTATCAAAGACTAAAGTCGCGCCTATAAAGCAAGTATCCATTCCTCGATTAGAACTCTGTGCTGCGTATTTGTTGACCAGATTAATGCGATCTCTATTGAACATTTTAAAGAAGTTTGATTTTGAAATCTTGCGTGGACGGATTCCAAGGTAGTTCTGTCTTGGCTATCAGCTCATCCACGTAAGTGGAAAACTTTTGTGGCAAACAGAACATCTCAAATCATAGAAGTGATACCTATTAAACATTGGAATCATGTTCCCTCTAAACAAAATCCTGCAGACGTTGCTTCTCGTGGTATTGAACCTCAACTCCTACCAAATTGTACTTTGTGGTGGAATGGTCCACCATGGTTGCGTCAGGAAGAGAAAAAATGGGCCTAAATATGAATTAAGAATCTGAAGATGATACTGAAGTAAAGGCCGAACAAAGATCTGATCCTATTTTTATTTCTCATATACGTGAATCGAATGATTTATTAGCTAATTTGTTCGAGCATTATTCTTCGCGTTGTAAAATTGTTCGTATTCTGGCTTACTGCCAAAGATTTATTACTAATTGCAAGAAGCATCATGTTACTCAGAACATTTCACGTAGTGGTATTAACTCCAGCTGCCTTATGCCGCTAACATTTCTAGAGATTCGAGTAGCAGAAAATTTCATTATTCGTTGGATTCAGAATCATTATTTCAAAGATGATTTACAATGTATTAAAGAAGAGAAACCTTTACCCAAGAAGAGCCAACTACGTTCTCTATATCCATTCGTAGATAAAGATGGTCTCTTACGGGTGGGAGGACGTCTTCGAAATTCATCTTTAGCATTTAGCGTCCTGTCATACTTCCTTCTCGACATAAATTTAGCGAATTACTAGTGAAAGAATTTCATATTTCTTACCTTCATGCTGGTCCTTCTTTATTATCACACCTCATCAGGCAATCTTACTGGATAATTGGAGGGAAAGAGACTGATACGCAGTTGTGTCAACCATTGCTTAATATGTCATCGATTTAAAGCTGCTTCAACTCCGCAATTGATGGGTGACTTACCTGAACATCGTGTGACTTTGGAACGACCTTTTTTCGCATCTGGTGTGGATTACGCTGGTCCTATTACCATTAAATTTAATAAGGGTCGTGGTTCTAAAACAACGAAAGGTTATATAGCTCTGTTTGTTTGCTTGTCGACTAAAGCTGTGCATATAGAAGCAGTCAGTGACCTGACAGCAGACTCGTTTATCGCTGCACTTAAGACGTTTCATTTCATGTCGCGGTGCACCACGACACATTTACAGTGACAACGGTATCAATTTTGTGGGAGCACGCCAAAAACTACAAGAACTATATCAGATTTGGTCTTCCTTGTATACAACAGAATCAGTTTCCCGAGAACTAAGTAAGTCAACTATTGAATGGCATTTTATACCGCCTGCTTCACCCCACTTCGGAGGAATATGGGAAGCCGGCATTCGCTCAGCGAAATTTCATCTGAGAAGAGTATTGAAAGAGACTCTTTTAACCTACGAAGAGTTGTCAACGCTACTTACCCAGATCGAGGCTATTTTGAATTCACGTCCACTTACTTACGTGAACGATTCTGATACTTGACTCTATTAATGTTTTAACCCCTTCTCATTTTATTACAGGTGATACTTTGACTTCCTTTCCAGAGACACATCAGTCTGTTCGCACAAGGAGTTCTAGGTGGGAACTTGTACAGAATCTACGACGTGGATTTTGCAAACGCTGGAAAAGGGAATACTTGACTTCTCTTCAGCCGAAATCCAAGTGGCAGCACACCAAACCCAACTTGAAGGTAGACACAGTGGTTCTTGTCATTGAAGATGAATCTCCACCTTTAGCTTGGCCTATAGGGCATGGATCATCGATGTCCATCCGGGCAAAGACGGCTTAGTTCGCGTAACTACAGTCAAAACTAAAACTGGTGTCTTCAAAAGACCATTTAATAAACTTTCACCTTTGCCTGTGTATCAGGACTAAACCTGATAGGGTGGGAGTATGTTTACTTCCATGCCTATTGAATTAATTTCCACTTTTCGTTGCCCTGCGCTGGCAACACGCTTTTGAAATTTATCGTTCGTAGAATTCGGTCGCTAAAAGCGTAGCTGATATGTAACTGTTGAAATTCTTATTTTAAAGCTTATCTGATTGCATTAATAGATGATACATAAGAATATTTAAAACAGGTGCCAAATTTAAATAATACCTTTTTTTGCAGTATTCTGCCTAAATATATGTTTCAGTTCCAAAAAACATCAAAGAATTGCAGAAACTCGGCATCATGCACAATTTGGCACTGTGCACACTGTTGCTCTCTCCATGAACATGATCATCTGATTTCATTTTAAAAAAAACACACACACAAAGAATAGCACAAATTTGCATTGCACATATTACTGTTGTCCTATGTGCTCATAGAATTGCACCAATTCAGCACTGGTGCACAAATTTTAATTCATAAAATTCAATCATTTACAAAATATGACTTCAAGAAATGTGAATTTTTGCATTTTCTCCAGTTAGACAAAATGCCATATTTCTGAAGAAATGCAGCACTTTCTTTTTCATTAGCTGGCAAACTCCACAATTCCCATTATGATTCCTTACCAGGAAAAGCAATTCACTTACTGCAAAAAAACCAACACTAATGACCATCGAATTGGAAGATGGAAATCGGGGCTTGTCTGCTGCATGAGTGTACATACCTGGTGGCATCAAGAACTGCCTAATTTGGTGACATCGTGTATTGAAATGTGAATATTTTTCAGGGAGGTGAGGATAATCAGAAAATACCAAACTTTTCACAATTACTGAGCTAATAAACAATTTTGGTACTTATGAATTAGTAAAATCACCTTAACAGAAGTTGCCAAATTTTTAGAATGTGCCAAACTTTGGGAACCATGCACATAACCATGCTTTCAGCAAGCATGTTCATAACAATCCTTCAGTCAAACAATGCTGCCATTTTTGTACAGGTTTTTGTTATTGTCGTTGTATTATAAACTCCAATGGTTTTGTGAACAAATCATGATACATTTTACTTTAGTTTTCAAATATCAGCTTACGGAATTTGCCGGCAATGGAAGAAACTGCGGTAAAATTTTTGCAGGAATACAGAATTTTGCTGAAACATTCTAAAGGGAACAACAAGGAAATGCGTTTCCTAGATAACTGCTGTTGCCGATTAGTGTTTTTTAAGCAAAAACAGATCACTGTGTACAGAAAGATTTGAAGAAGAATGTAAGTATTTTATTTTTTAATGTAACACATAATCCTTATTTAATAATTAAAATTTGTATTTTAAACTGATAAAGTACTTTTTCTTTTCATATGCTGATAATGTTTACCAACTTACGATATACATTGACAGTTTAGGAATCTTTCTTTAAATATATATATGTATATATATAAAGGCATAAAAACCAACAATTTGTACCTGATAAGTAACTTCTACCTTTTCATCTGCAAAAAAACTGACAAATTGCACCAAAGTGGTTGCATTAAATACGTAAGTACCAAATTTTTTCATGTAAAATATTAATTTCAAACTTACAGCTCCAGTTTCATCCTTTAAAGTTGATATTCTTCCACTCAGCATGCTAAGGAAAAGAACAGATGACTTTAGATACTGAATTTTACAGCATAAGCCAAAATACCTTATTAAAAAACAAAATTCTATGGATTTATATAATTAGATTACAATACAATATTTAACAATAAAATATGCAGGAAAACACATAAAGTGCTAATTTAAATAACTGTGCCAAAAGTACATCAAAATTAGGCATGCCTTTAATAAACATGAATAATGCTCATATTAAAATATTGTATATTTTCATTACTGTTTACACAGCTAACAAAATGAAAAAAATAGAAATGGGATGTTGTTTTTTAATTATAAAGAAGCACATTTTAACATGCTTTTCAGCAAAATGCCTTTTGCAGAATTAAACATTATAACAATTTCAACCTCCAGGGAAAGCCTGTAACCACTATACAGTGCATCTCCAGGTGGCACATAGGGGAATGCCTCCACTAGTTTTCCCTTTGGGTGGTAGAAGGGAAATAAAATACCTTCCGTGGACCAACAGGCAGAAGTCCAGCCCTTCAGGCAATGGCACTCTTTTCTATGACTTTCAATTCCAATAAAGCACCAGCTCCATAATATAAATAGAGATCGACCTATAACTAAAATCACTGTCAGACTTACAATTGGCCATTACAATGGACTGAAAATTGACAAAGAGGGTAGGAAAACCTAGAGGAACTGTGACAACTGCCTGGTCATAGAACTGACAACTGCATACATCTCTGTCCAGCCATCCTTGCTGAATTGCTAAAAACTGGGGTCTTATTTAAGAGACTGAACATTTATAATGATAACATTTTGCAGACTGCCAGGGCTATCATCATCACCCATGGTACTATTTGAATAGGCTCTCTCTTAGACACAACGATGACAATTCGACACTACTGCTTATGTAAAATTCTCTAAAACACAAAAATTCACCACATATTAAGCTTCCCGGTATTGCATAAATCCTTATTCACAAACTTTCCAAGAAATAAAATGAAAACATAATCCTAAATACATATTTTTGAATTTTAAGGAAAATTCTAAGCATTCTAAGAAAATCTGCACAAATCTGACGCAAATTTATAGGGATGAATTCATATTTTCTGTTAAGTCTCATCTCATCTCTTATAGCAAGGATTCAAGAAACTCATTTGCTTTCATACTATGAAGATAATAGAAAAGTTCAGAAAAACGACCTATTTGTTCACATATACAGAACCTGTAACCAGCCAATGCTTGCACTGAGAAACAAATTAATATATCAAAAAAAAGGCTTCAAAGACATGAATGCTCTTTTGGCATCTGGGTACAATACTTGGTTTATAACCAACAGACTGTAATTCTGTTAGGTTCAGTCTTTTGTAGTTCTGTAGTTCTGTTCTATAGTACAGGAATGTAGTTCTGCCTTCAGGATCATCACTGCAACTGTAAGCTCACAGATGCAGCCATACAGATTTGAAAAATAATCTCCAAATTTCCAAGTCGGTTTAAATTCACTTATGCAACTAATGTATGATTTAAGTTACTAAACTATGTATTATAATGTGATTCTGGTGTAAAATATATCAATATTTACCTAGAAATTCTAAATTTTATGTGTTCCCCCCCCCAATTTTATTTTGTAATTTCCTTACACTTTTATACTGAGCAAACCGACAGATGTCCTGTGCAGAATGGAAGATAGCACCTGCAAGATGTAGCTGCAGGTGTGAAAAAAGGTAGAAGTCTGAAGGAGCTATATGGTGGGTGAGGCAAAAGATGACATTCAAGTCTGTACAGAGTCCAGCCGGTGAAAGCAGACACATGTGGTGTTGCATTATCTTGATGAAACATCACCTTTTTGTGCTTGAACTCAGTTCGATGTTTTCCTTGCTAGCAACATCAACTCGAACTAGCATCTCACTGTACACCTCACTGTCAAGGGTTTTACCTTTTTCCAGATACTCTTTGTAGAAAATACCACAGCAATCCAACCAGATACAAGCATGATCTTTTCTTAGTCAAACTGTGCTTTGCGATGTTGCTGATTGGCTCACTGGGCACAGACAAACCCCCTTTTCAGCCTATGTTGTTGAAGTAAATTCACTTTTCATCAAGTGATGATCCGGTCCAGAGTTTTGTCCTTGCGTTGATATTCGAGCAGATTAGTGCAAGTCCAAACATGTCTCTCCTTATCTGCTTGAGTCAGCTCATGCAGCATCTAACGACTGAGCTTGTACGTCAAGTTCATGCAATACATAGTGCAACTAATAAACATGGCACTTAACTCCTTAGCAGGCTCTCAAGTGGTTGCATACAGATATTCTTCCACAAGTTCTCAGAGGCGAGCCTCATCAACATCAGTAGGCCCAGCAGAGCACTCTGCTTCTTGAATATCATAGTCCTTGTTTTTGGACTTTCAGTACCAAACCTTCAATGTCATATGATACAACATTAGTACCTAAACCTGTACACATGATTTGTTGACATTCTGTAGCTAACTTTTTGCAAAAGAACTGGAAGTAAATGATAGTTCTAATCTGGCAGCATAATAGTTTCATTTCAGGCACCTCGTACTTAAAGAGAACAATATTTCTTTTATAAATTTCACAACACAGTGTTCTAAAGCAAGCCTCTTTCTTTCAAATGCCAAAAATCCTTTGACAAAATATGATCATACACAACAAAGCTAACTATATTGTGCAGATGATATTTTAGGTGGCGGAAAATTTTCATTAAAACCCAATATACATAGCCTTTTCCTGAGAAAACTACTTTTCATTTAGCAGAACATTTCCAGGTAAATCATAAGATTAGAAACTATATTATTTTCTGCTAACATTTGATAAAAATAAATGCTACAAAATCTAGTCTGTATATAAGCATTATGATATATAAACTGAATTTCAATAGACTAAAACAAACAGTATCTACATTGCATCTTCATGATTATAAATACACACAGTATTCAAAACAGACTATTGTTGATGCTATTCCTTTAATTATTGATGATTACTTCTAGGTATAATTTTTTTCAAAATAAAACGCAAAATTTTATGATGGAGATTTGAATGCTCGATGGGATTAATCATTGCAAAGCAAAACTAGAGCCATCTGTTTATGGAAAGTTACTCAACCCCTTAGCTGCCGCCGGCGTATTTATACGCCTTGCTCAGTTGATGCGTTAACTGCCCCGGGCATATATGTATATATATATATATATACGCCCTTCCAAAATACTATCATTTGCTTTGCACTGCTACCAGTAAAATTATTCGCAAAGCTTTAGAATGCAACACCACAATGACCTTGACACAGTATGCAAAGGAGGATGCTATTTCAGAGAAGAGGGGGAGGAATTGGTGTAGGGGATGTTTCTGAAATGGTGAAAGTAATGACTGTGCAGTATTTGCTAATATTTCTGTTTGAGAAAAATGAATTTTTTTATTCTGTAACTTCCGCTTTCGCTTACTGTTTGTAGTTGGTGCCAAGAATAGAGAAAGATATAATGGATGTATCAAACCCACTTTTTTTAAAATTATTTTTGATGAATTGCTCATGCTTCATATTGTTACTGAAACTAACTGCTTTGTAGACGAGTATATGAACCAACACCCTGCAAAAAAAAAAATCAAGACAAAATGGTAGTATTCAACCATTTCAGGAGATATACAGTGCAAAGTATGTAATCCGAACATCCATAATCCGGAATGATCTATAATCCAGACCTCAAAGCTACAAATTTTATGCGCATGCGTAAACGCATAGTGCGTTTACACATGCGCATATGCATTTATGCATGCACATATTGCACTTACGCATGCTCATTTAATGTATAACAGATGGTATAAGCTAGGCTAAAATTATCTAAGGCATTTCAGTTCATGTTGCAGATTGCGCTGTTCCTTAATCTTCTAATTGGATCCGGCTTATTACTTTTTGCAGACTGTAAGAAAAATTTTATAAAAATTAAGCTTGAACTTTCGATTATGCAAAAAGAGTTTCCAATTCTGGAGCTGCCAAAAAATCTACAAAGCGAAAGCATGTTTCGATGTCCATTAAACAAAAAGTGGAATTGCTGCAAAAAATGGATAAAGGCATATCCGTCTCAAAATTATGCGAGAAGTATGGCATTGGAAAGTCCAACTGTATATGACATACGCAAAAAGAAAAAAGAACTTTTTGAATTTTTTGTGGAAGCATCTTAAACAACTTACATTGAAAGAAATGTTTCTTTTTTTTTTTTTTTTTTTTTTTTTTTTTTGTAAATTTTGATATCCTTTAGATCATAATTTGTTCTTTATTTCATAAATTACGATTTCATATTTTTAATTGTATAATTTCTGCATGCCATCTTACCAGATTTAAATTGATGATCTATAATCCGGAAAAAAAAGTCCCGACGAATCTGGATTACGGACATTATACTGTATATGTTTTTTAGGACAAAAAAGGCATAACACTGAAACCTGATATTACACTTTACTGGTCTAAAATAAATTGATCGAAACAAGATCTTTTTTTTATTATACAAAAATTATATAAAATGTTATATATATAATTATATATATAAAATGTATATAATGTAGTATAATTATAATAAATTTTTATTATACTTAAATCTTTTTATTATACTTTTACTCTAAACATTAAATATTGTGCTTTCATTTTTTCTTTTATTCTTTATTGAGTGAAAGTAAACAGTTTTTAGAAAGTAAAACTTGGACTTATCCCCCCCCAATACATCGCATAACTATGTGTGCCTGTTGTTATTAGTAATATATATCTAAAATCAATTAAGTTTAAGTATGAATGAAAGTGTATGAGGGCCAAATGAGGCAATAAAGGAGTAATTGTAAGGAAGATGGAAATCTTTATAGTAGAATAATTGGCCTTCAATCAGGCAGATAAAACAGAAATACTTAGGTCGAAAAATGGTTTTCGGAAACGATTTTTAATTCACTTCATGATTCGAAGTTCTACAAAAGTTAAGGAATTTTAAGGTGGTCTACTACAGCAGCATTACAATACTAAAAATTTTTGTTTA